CGTTGTACGACACTCACTATCCTTGTTTTTTTTTCATTTATGAAAAAAGAAAAGTCGAAGAATACAAATATCGTTACGCTTCACAGCTAACCACAGCATTCGACAAATATGTTTCACTCGTTTAAAAATTACTTATATCACAATAAAACGCCGGCGCATCCTTCCGTCTCATTTCATGTTACCCAACTTGCGCATACCTCTTTCCGTGGATCACCCCCCCAGCGTTCATTGGTATCAAGGATGCGTCTAGAGGCTCTGGCAGGTTTTGGCCTAGATCCGAGGTTTCCGGATGGTTGCGGAGACGTAATTTCGGGATTTGCGTTCTGGGTCGCTGATCCCTTAACGAATGCGGCCTGCCGACGCAAACCCTCGATCACAGCGCTTGTACTAGGCAAGAATCAAGGGATTCTCGACATTTATAGTCTGAACGTAAAATTACGGTAGTTGACTCTTCGACATTGAACCTGTGTCGTCGGTCAGCGCGCGTGAATCTCGTGGTTTAGCGCGCACTCTGTAGAATTTCGTACCACGCGGAACATGATACCGATTTTCCTGCTAGAAAGAGAATGACAAAATTATATTTCCTTCTTTGTTGCAGCAAATATGCCATTTGATATTATAAATTCAGTTCTACATCGATAATCAATCAACAATAATCTTACCTTCCTCGCGTGGCAATATTCTTTATCAATCACTTCAGCGAGAATGCATTTCCGATAGACGCTCGGCTTCACCCCCACATCCAATGCGTCTATGTAGTCCGAATGAAGAAAATAAAAAGTCGAAGATTCTTGGTACACTGCGTAATTGTTGTGCATACCATCCCAAACTACAAGTACCACATCGCCTGGATTGCAACTGGTGACAGTGATGATCCCTTGTTGCACCATCTTCGCCACTTTTTCTGCGACTTTCTTATGTATGTACGAGGGAAGTGAAGGGTGGAAGCATATCGATTTGGAAGATGATCGTCGACTCGGTTCCGGGCTCGTAGCCGCGTCCCGACTTGAGTTGGCATCGGAAACTACCGCAACCGACGCGTTCATGTCCTTATCACGGCTCTCCGATGGCATCGATTCGGTACTAAACCTTTTGGTTCGTTCCTTCAGCAATTCGATTTCCAAACGAATTTTATCCGTCATTAATGCCTCCACTTTTGCTTCGGCCGCTACTTTACTCGCGCGTATCGAATTTAATTCGCAAGACAATCGCTTATTATCGTTCTCAAGAGATTCAAGTCGCCTCGACAGCCGAGCTAGATCATCGTCGTCAGCCTCCAATCGCACCTTTTTCGATTCTGAAACTTCAACTTCGTATTTTTCAGATTCCAAATCCTTAAAGACATCCTCCAGTTCACTTTGAGCAGCATCCAACCGATCGTAACTCAAATCTTTGTGTACTCCAGATTCGACAGAATATCCAATATCTTCGTTTTGTTCTAAGACCGTTCGCATTGTCTTCTCTGCGGCTTCTTTACTCTCCAGCCATGCCTTATCCGCTTCAAGATTTTTCATCTATGTATAGACAAAAAAAATATATAATTATAAAAATAAAAACATATATAGCAGACAATCTGAAAATATACAATGATCTAAAGATCTTTCTTTGATAGATATTTATGATACAATACCTTCTCCGTCAAGGTTTGCTGTATCTCCGATTTCAATTCGAATTCTCCAATTAATCGATCTATCATGTTCTTATAACGCTTGCCCTGTTCGATAAGTACGGCCGTTCTCACTCTATATATCTCTATCTCCCTATTTTTCTCTTCGACTACTTCCTTCGCCAATCTTAATTCGTTATCCAATTTCGCCATGCAGTCAGCCCTCTCTTTCTCGATAGCGGTACGAACTGCCATGGCATTCTCAACTTTCATATCTTCTCTTGCTTGCGCCAAAATCGCCTCGTGATTCGCAAGCTCGATAACATCCGTCCGCTGAAAAGAATAAAATTAATAAATTTTCTCCACTTAATTTTCAATAACAATGTAAAGATATCGGCAGAATTATTTACCTCAATCTTCTCTAGACTAGAGTCGCTAGGACTTCTTTCCATGGTAGAAGCAGCCATAAGTTTAAAACGGCTTCGAATAGTTTCCAACTCCGTCTTATATTCTATCTGCAGCTTATCGGTCGCCTCTTTCACCATTCTCTCTTGATCGTTGCGCGCAGTCGCCAGATTCTCTTCCAGCTCTTGAATTCGTTTCTGACATTGCGTCAAAGAATTTGTCAGAGAGGTGATCTCGAGGAATCTCTCGTCATTCGTCTTTTTCACAGCCTCCTCCTTGTCTATGCGCGCTTGCTCTAGTATTCTCGAATAGTCCTCGAGTTGCTGGTGTAAACGAGTTTGTAAGTTCCTCCTCTCGATCTGCTCATCCTCCAACTTTTGATGCATCGTGGCGACCAATCGCTCGTGTTCCGCCAACTCAGTCTCCTTTTCCAGAAGATTACGTTTGAGCGTGCAGATCTCCTCTTCGCGATTCTGCATCAGCTTCTTAACATCCGCTATCTCGTATTCATGCTCAATCGTCAGTTCCTGCTCGCGCTCTTGAAGACGTCGATCATATTCCCGCGAATGCAGGGATAATGCTACCCGTACACGTTCCGTCATTTCGACGAGGCCGCTTTTATCCTCGTGAGATCGATCGCGCAGAATCGCCAATTCATTTCGAACAGAACTAAGCTCCTCGCATACAACCGTCTTCATAGTCTTCAGAATGGATCTCAATCTTTCCACTTCTTCGCGCGTATTACCAAGATTCTCCTGAAATCGCGAGCACCAGAGATATCCCGATGAGTATTCCAAAATTTGAAATTTGTGAAACGAATTGTCCTCGACTTTGTGAAGTAGTCAAGGAGAATTCGTCAAGGAGAGATTAGTTAAGGAAAATTCCACTCTCTTAATTTTGAATGTCCGATTTGTGCGGTACGCATAATTGCAACCATTTTAATTTAGAACGTTTTTTTTTTTTTTTTTTTGTGTAAAGCAATCATGTGGATGAGTTCAATAGGTTCTGAAGGAACGTGTGGGATTAGGAAACGAGTGCGACGCCAGCTATCCTGTAAAAAATCAAGATGCGCGCATAAATATATACGCACACGCGCATGTATGCACGTGCTCAATGCACGCGCATCTATTATTGGGTGCCATTGTATTTGTGCAAGCAATAAAGAAATCAGAGAGCGCAACAAAATCGGTTCAGATTAGTTCGAGCAATTGCGAAACATAAGTGAAGCAGTAATACATACCCACGTTTCACGAGATCTAGTTTGCATATACAATTCTAATAATTCATTAACGAATATAAACGATACAAGTACCTAGAAATCACAAAAAAGAAGAGCGAATCAACTACTAGTACATTTCACGAAATACCGAGCAACACTTTCAACATTTCGATGCGGGAGGATAATAGGAAAGAAGATAAAAATGAAAAAGAAAGAGAAAGTTATATTAATTTTTAGAAGATAATGAATAGTGATAAAAGCGGTACTTTACGGAACGTTTTACGGCTACGACTACGATAGATGTCTGTTAGCGAGCTGTAAGTCGTCCAGTACCTGAAGGAGGGACACGAGAGCCTGATGTTGACCGTCGGCGGGATGTTCGCTGAGACTGCTGGGCAGAGACTCGTCCATGTAAAACTCGGTACCCATGAAGTCGGTAGCACCCACGCCGACGGAAGGACTGCTACCACCGCTACCAGACAGCGGGTGCTGATGTTGCTGATGCTGGCCGTCGCACATGACGGAGGACCGTGGCAGGGAAGGAGGATTCGGACTGAGGGAATGTTGTTCCTCGAGCGGCAAGGCGTCGCGATAGTTCGAAAGACCGCTTGCACCGCTGCGGAGCAAGCAATTGGAGGAATCGGCGGCGCCGTTCTCCACGCACTCGGTCAGCGGACTCAGCTGCACCGGGCGTTCGCTCGTGGCGGACAGGCTGGGAAATTGGAAAGAGCCGGGTTCGCTTGACGTGGACGAACGCGTCATTAGGTCCGCGACTTTCGAGTTTAGCGGGGAGACGTTAGTCGAGGTCGAGGAAGCGGGGGACACGCTTCGAGAGGCACCAACCTCCAATTGCTTCTGCCGTTTCTGTTTCGCCCCGTCGAACACGCCAGGCTTGGTCGCGTCCACGCCGGCCTGACCGATTTTCTCGAACTCCTCCGTGTCGGTTTCGGATTCGAAGTCGCCCCTGAAAATCGATACGATTCATCCATGATGGACGCAGTTTGCGTAATTAATTTTTACTTGCAAGAACAATAACAAGTTAAAAATTTACCTGTCGGACAACAACGGTGCTCTGGTACGTTCTTGTTCTTTCGCGGGAATATCGGTGCTCACAGATGTCGTATCCTTCTCCTTGTTGCCATCGGTGCTACCTTCGGTAAAACTTTTGGATAAGAAAAACTGCGTGATGCTGCTCAAATCCGGTGTAGAGATCGAAAGCGCCAAGTCTGGAAGCTGTGATCTTAATGACTCCATGTCGTCCACGGTCAGCTATAATTAAATATTGAAAATATATTATTGCAAATATAAATATATTTCTATGATTAAGAAAATTTTATGTAGATCTTACCTTAGGCAATCCATTATCAAAAACAGAAGGTGCTTGCGTCGCAAAAGGCGGCGGCGTATCCTCCAAACCTGGGAAGAGAGTATTCAAGAAGTGACCGTCGAATTTACTCTGAAATTCTCGCCTACGCGCCAACTCCTCGCTGTGAACAGTCAACAACTGGCATGCCAAATTGCTCGCCCATACGAGAAAAGCCTGCGAAAAGGTACGCCTTCTGACAACTTCTACTACGGCGCTTAGGTACATTTGCGGGGCCAAGTGGATCTGTTGGAGCACATCCAGATGCCGTCGCAACCGCTTCAAACTCTCGTGATATATGATTAGCTTGTTGCCCACTTCCACCATCTTGTTCTCCACGTACATAATCCACTTCAGGCGATGATAGATATTCACTGAGAGCTCCTCCTTCGCCTTGGTACATCTACGGCGGATGTCGCGCAACTGATTGTGATTCTGCAGCATGACGAGTAACTGCCGCCGGTGGGAATTGCAAAGATCTGGCAGAACGCTCGCATCACCTAAATTGCTCGCACGATTTTGATTCTGAAGAAAGCCCTGAGCAAGCTCGCCCTGCTCGTGAACGAGCCTCTTAGTCTGTACCATCAGCTGTTCCAGGGCAAACAGCCTCTCGCCTAGGCCCTTAATCTCCTTCATATCCTGTTTGTTAGCATTGTCGATGGCTGCGTTCACTTCAGCTTTCAAGGCTTGCATCAATCGTTCGTCGAACTGTTCCAAGCCACGCGAGCATTGATACGCCACTTGCTCTAAGCTGCTCTGATTGTCTTTCGCAGAGATCCACCGAAGCAGACTCAACACTTCCCCGCTATCCTCCGACGTGGTCTCAGAAGTCTGACTCGGTTGATCATCCGGACTCAATAAACCTTCGGCCTGAGCTCTCAAGGCCGGCAAAATTGGAATTTTTGCGAGAGTACCAAGATCCGCGCTAAAACTGCAAAAAAATTTATTTTTTCACATACAACTTCGGTATTTAATATAATATATACATTTAAAAACATACACATTTAAAGATTTCCTCTACATCCAGGCTAAAGAATTTGTTATTTATTACGGAACAAAATATTATCGGACAACGAGTAATGTTTTCGGATTATATTTGGCGAATATTACGATGAACTTTGACACGCATATCTTTGGATAAAATTAGTGGTGCCATTATTCAATTACTCATTAGCGGTATAACAAATGATAATTGAAGTGGCCACGATTAAATATGATAATCAAAGCTGCGATTATTAAAACATGATTCAATGGTAATTATATTCCATTGTAATTAAAGTAATTATTGAGAGCAGCATTACATTTACGGTAGCTGCCACGCTGGCTGGTAATTCATTGCGAAAAATATGTTTAATAATCCGTAATGCACATCCTAAGCCGGCTAATTCGAAACTTTCACTATTATTCAATAATTATACTGCGCAAAGAACGACGGTGGTAAAATCTACAAAAGAACACCAGTCTTGCCGCATTAATCATTCTATTCGTTCGGTACAATTTTGCCAATTAAATTGTCGAACTCATAAATTATTGACTAACTTACGGGCAAGTTACGCAACTCTGGCGCGACATGCCATTTATAATTCTCCTGAAACTCTATTTTTATTTACGTTTACATTATAAATTTCCCGCAGAAGTTAACGAACTACTAAATTCACCGTTATTAAAAGGGGGAAAAAAAAAAAGGAATATAACTCCACGACATTCGTGCGTTCCAATGGAAGTGGAACTGATAGAGGAAACGTACTTGTCGAGAAGTTTCATATGCTGCTGCCTCTCGGCGAGGTACAGGACGAAAGCTTGTTGGAACTGCTCGGCCCGTGACTGAAACATTTGTGTGATATCCTCGAGATTTGCGACTACCGCGGCCCAGCCTTGCTGCTGGAGATGCTGATCGTGAACCAGTCTCTCGCAGATCCTCGTCTGCTCTCGCGCCAGGCCGCAACACTGCTGGGCCAGGTGGGCACGTGCACAAAGGGTCTGGTAGGTGGCCGGCATCGCCAGCGAGGCGTCGATCTGTGTCTGCAGGTCGACATCTAAACAAAGAATAATCAAGATAAACACTCAATCCCGCAGATGACAATGTAATCAA